ACCAAGAAGACAGGTTCTGACATTGTTATAATCCTAGTATATGTGGATGATTTGCTTATAACTAGCAGCAATGCAGAGTTGATAGAGGAGGTTAAACAGACTTTACATAGCTCTTTCAAGGTGAAGGACTTAGGAGAACTTCGTTATTTCCTTAGAATAGAAGTTCTGAGATCAAAGGAAGGGATACTGCTCACACAAAGAAAGTATTCTTTGCAATTGATCTCAGAAGCTGGCCTTGCAGCAGTCAAACCAATCTCTACTCCCATTGAACTTAATCAGAAATTGACTACAATTGACTATGACAAGCATGTAGGTGTCAAAGGGTATGAGGAACTGGCAGACATTGGAAGCTATCAAAGACTTATTGGGAAGCTACTCTACTTAACCATCACTAGACCAGACCTCAGCTTTGCAGTTCAAGTGCTTAGCCAATTCATGCAACACCTCAAACAATCCCATTGGAATGCAGCATTACGTGTAGTCAGATATGTGAAATCAGCTCCTAGGCTTGGAATTTTGTTAAGTGCTGGTCCTATCGAAAACATATCAGCTTATTGTAATTCTAACTGGGCCTCCTGCCCAAATACCAGAAGATCAATCATAGGATACATCATCAAATTGGGGAATTCACTGCTTTCCTAGAAGTCCAAGAAGCAGCAGACTGTGAGTCGAAGTTCTGCAGAGGCTGAATACAGAAGTCTAGCAGCAGCAGCAGCAGAAATTACTTGGTTTCTGGGACTATTAAAGGAACTTCAGGTTCATGTTCATCAACCAGTTCCCCTGCATTGTGACAGTAAGGCAGCCTTACAAATAGCATCCAATCTCATCTTTCATGAGAGGACCAAACACATAGAAATAGATTGTCATTTTGTTCGAGAAAAAATCAAAGCTGAACAATTAGCACCACGATATATCTCTACTAGTTTACAGCAGGCTAACCTATTGACCAAGGGTCTAGGATTAGCACAACATCACTTCCTCTTGTCCAAGCTTGGTGTGCTTGATGTGTTTCACTCACCAGCTTGAAGGGGAGTATTGAGATACATATCAATTGTATATAGGATAAGTTAAGGGGCCTAAGTGTACAGCTTTAGAAAGCTTTGTCCTAATGTGGAAAGGCTGTTATAGGCGGTTAGAAGTGGGTGTTTATATAAGAGCCCACACGTGTATTTCTTCTTCTTCTTCTTCTTAGATCGATAAAACAGTGTTTTCTTCTTCATCTCATTTCCTCTCCACATTCATCACAAATTCACTTGCATGTTGCATTACTGTGTAGATTCGATTAGTTTTATCACTAAATACAAAACTGACTAGTTTACTGAAACTAATTGCATTTTCTAGTTGAAAAGTATATAAAATATATATATATATAGTTTCAGCAAACTAGANCCCGCACACTCCCAATTTTCCCATTCTTCATTGCTAAATAACCAACCATTTTTCCTTTTCCCACTTGTAATTAGTCATTTTCTAATGTTTTCAAAGGGTACAAATATGCAGAATGTATAAGTCCTAATCGAATTAAAATTTGTAATGGGAGCATGATACATGTAATTAAGCACATAGTACAATAACTCCTGTATCTCTTCTCATTAAATGAATTGCTTAGCATATATTTAGTTCATTTTAGTTTTGGAAAAGGCATTCAAAATCAGTAGTAGTTTACGTGTTTTACTTATTACAATCACTTCCAAAAATGCAAATCCATTGATTTATTGAATAGTTGTCGACCAATCAATCAGTCTTAAAGTCAAATCTCAAAATTCCCTTTCACAAAATTCCCTTCCATTCAAGAAAGTATAAGCTGAATTTCTCTTTATAAATGTTTTAAAATTTTGCAGATGTTTCATGTGGTGAAAAAGGAGTACTAGCAACCATGCAAAAGGATCAAACCAATCAAGAAGATCATATTCAAGATCCATTCATGGATTCATCAAAGAAAACCCCATCAGAGATTGAAGAAGAATCTCAAAATATTGCTTCTGAAACTTCCACACTCACCACAGATTCACCAAAACTCCAAGAAGAAGAAGAAAAAGATTCAGAAAACAAAACGAAACCAGAAAAAGTTAACAACTTTGAGAACAATTCTTCTTCTTTTTCTTCCTCTTCTTCTTCATTTGGCTCAAAGAAAACCAAGAAGAAAACAGAAGATCATGTTAAAGAAAATGGAGAAAAGATTACTACTACTCCTAGTTCAGAAAAGCCATCAAAAAATCCAAGTTTTGATAAGAGTAGAAGCTATTCAAATGGAGCTTCAAGTATTTTCAGGAATTTGATCACTTGCGGAGCTGTGGATACTAATGATTCTGGAATTATTCCAATCCGAAAAAATAGGCCTTCATTTAGTAGTTCTGGTGAAAAAGCAGTGAGCTTTTCATCTGAGATTTGTAAAGCTGAGAAAGTTGGAGGATCTCAAAGGATTTTTGGCACTGCTTGGAATCAACAGCATCAACATACTAATGGAAGGTAATCTTTTGCATTTACATTTTCACTTATGTATCAACTTCCTTTTTAATTTCTTATGGTAATTAGTGATTGGTTTAATTAAGTGCAATTAAAAATGTTTTCCCGTCACTTGATCATCAGAATGTTTATATAAAAAGAGTATAATCACAAAATACGACTCTCATCGAAATGTATAATACATAGTTGAAATCGTGAGCAGTGACAGAACTAAAAGTTTTATTAAAGGGTATTAAAATATGAAAAAGTAAACACATGAAAAAAATAAGATTTTTCAACATCTATTATATATACTTAAAAAATATTTTCTTTTTACCTATATAAATAATACAATTTTTCGACGAATGGATGTCAATTGGCACACTTTAGTATAAGGCGATTGTACGTGAACAATAATGATATTATCCTTGTCATTGATGTCATATTTCTTCGCATACATTATATTTTTCTTTCCGAACATTGATGTAGTCGGTTGGCAGTTTCTGTATTTAAATGAATAGATTATATTTTTAGGTTGAGAGCATAATAACATATGGGTGTACTTTTTATAAAAATCAATGTTTTGTCAAATGATGGAGTACTTTAACATTAATTAATTGTGGTTTAAAATTTGATTGCAGGAAAAGTTGTGATGGGGTATACAGTTCGTCAAAGAACAAAAATGAATTTGGTAGTCGTAGATCAGTTTCTGCTAATTACAAGCCAGTCAATGGACCCAACTGCTCGTAAGTTCCTTGGCAACAACTATACATAACAAAATATCCTTATTACATTATCGAAAATCATAGTCAAAATTTTGAAGTTTGAGTGCCTTTAAAATTAGACGTACATAGGGAATTGAAGAGTACGACATTTTTCGTGTAGTTTTCCTTTTACCTCTTGTCTTTTCTGTTCTATGTCGTGAATCTACAAAGGCACAATTCTTGCACAAATACACAAAGTTCCATAACACATTCTACTTATTGCTATACACAAAGTAATATTTTTGAGTTTAAGCGTTTACATAGGTTTTTTCTTTTTGTGTATGCGATAGCTTGAGCGCACTTTTATTATTCCTCCTAATATTTGTTATGTCCCACTTACACATATAGAGCAACTTTGCCGACCAAGTCTTAAATAGAAGAGAAAATCACATACTAGCTTTTTCTGAGTTGCGTGTTTAGTTCTTGCAAAGAAAAATTGTAATTCTTATGATATTGCCTGTCTAGGATTGGAGTGATCTTGCAGACTTCTTCCATCTAAGTATTATTCCTTAAATAAAAAACTTAATGGGGCAAGTGCACCTATAGCCGTTCTAAGGGATGTTATTTAGAGATTAGTCAGTTCTTATTTTGTCCAGGATTTTTAAACTAAAAATAACAATTCCAAACATTTTTGTCCTAATTTTTAAATAGCAACCTTTTAGAATAGCTACCTTTTAGTTTTACTTTTGACCTTTTCAGTCCACTTGGACAAAAAATAATCCTTTGGATGTGATTTTTTTTTTTTCTGTGTAGAAAAAAAAAAGACAAAAGGAGAATATGTCAGCAGTATTAATTTTATTACTGTGGTTGCAGGCAATGTGGAAAGCCATTCAAGCCAGAGAAACTTCATACCCACATGAAATCCTGCAAAGGCATGAAAGCTCTGGCAAAGGGTGCTAATTCTGTTACCTCTGCTACTGAGAAGACTTCCAAAGATGCATCAAAAGTGGATTCTGTTTCTGGAACCTATTTGACTCATTAAGTGCCAGCTTTCATTTTTTTAAATTATCTTTTTCAACTTCTTTTTGAATTAGATTAAGTTTTTTATTAAAACTTTGACAAGCCTTCTATGTAAATTTTTTAGCAAGAAGGTCCACAGGCAAAATTCCATGCAATTCAAGAATGTAGAAGTCACGTCTCCTTTACTTGCTTTCAGTAGTTATATTTCTGGTTTTCAACCTTAATCTCAAGTTCTAAACTATACTCATTGCTGAAGCTCAAACTACTACATACAAACCAAATTAATCGAGCCGATGGATAAGGGATACCGGATGGTTAAACAGAAGAAAAAAGAGCTCAAACTTCCCAAATGACAAATGAATTTTGATGGTTGAAGGCAACAAATGTACATAGGAGGCAATGAATATTTGGAGACATAGCAAACTTGTCTATGTGGAAAATCTTCGATTTAAGTTGAGTTCCCCAGTTCAAAGAAGCAATGAAGCTAACTTCTATACATTTGGATACTGAATCACTAGCTACATCAACTCTCTCTTAATTTCTTAGAGCCTCTGCTGAGTTAATGCTACAGCAGTCAGAAAGATGAGACAATCAACTAGGTATTGTGTTAATGACCATATTCATGTTTCCAGGAAATATCTAAATCTAAGGGCATCAGTAGTTGAAACCATCGCTGATTACTTACCTCCAAGAATGGAGGAGTCAACATGATCAAGCAAAAATCTATATAACTTCTTTCTTAATCCTTCTACCCTCTCATCTACTCGGCTTCCTAACTTAACCATGTCGTCCAACCACTGATTGACCCTTTTCAGCTGACCAAGAAGACCTGCAATTTCAGAATTCCCTTCCACGGTATTCAGCCCAAATCCCTTGTTCAAAGAATCTTCCAAAAAGTTCAAGAACCAAGCACGAGACGAAGCAAGCAGCTTTTCGGCTAAAATTGCAGCCTCCTTCAGCCCACTCCCTTTGGACCATTGTTCTCTTTCAGTATTCGTTCTTCTCGTAGCTGGTAAACGCTGCTTCGAATGAGATACTGATCTTCTTCCACCGGAATCAGGACCAGATGGCCCATTGGTTTTAGGGCTTTGCTTGTTTTTAGGTGACTGGTTCTCTGCTTCACTATTCTTACGATTGTTCTCTAATATGACATAATGAGACTTCTCATTATCTAAATCCCCCTTCTTGCCTTCCTTTATGAACAAACAGAAATTGGAAAGCTCGGAATCAATTGCAGCTTGAATCCAAGAGGCAGCATTCTTATTTGTAAAATTATGGCAAACTTCTGGAAAGGGATTCTGCAGACAGAACTTGTCACTGCCTTTTGCTTCAGGAGTTCTTCTCATCACCAATGATTTTACAACAGCTGCCGCTTTCTGCATGTTTTCATGAAGGTTCAAATATTGCTCCACCAGTTGTCCAGCAGGTACTTTCTTCCATGATTCACATAGTTCTGCAAACATACTGTAAAGAGGTAGCTGGTAAGGAAAGTGTCTTACCTTTTATGTCTAAAGGACTGAACATAATTCAGACAAAAAAGAAGTTATCACCAGTGGNAAAAAAAAAAAAAAAAAAAGCTATCACCGCAGTGGAGATTTTATATCAAAATATCAATTTTAAACAGTATTCAGATAATAACCAATCGTTGGCAACAACACCTGAAGAGTGTTTCCCTTAAAATCTGATGACTACTTTTGGGTAATTATTCATGTGCATAACACGAGCCAATGGGAAACTATTAAAGAAAGGTATACATTGACCCTAACACATAGTCTTGCATGGAACCCATCTATAACACAGTCTTGCATGGAACCCATCTATAAACTATGTACCTGTTGCAAGATAAGATTGTAGCATGAGCACTCGGGTGGAGCAAAATGTAGTGAATGAAAATGAAAGTATGTAATCAAGATTGGGCCACATAGCCATATAGTAGAGCTAAGCAAACAAGACATTTCGTGGAATTTATTTATGAATACACACCAATAAATGATGTATCTCATTTTCTGCTCAAAAGGTAGAGCTTACATTCCAGTAGTCTCAAGTCAAGTATCCATATAAATACATGTGAAGTAAGTAGAGACATCAAAAAGAAAAGATGAACCATTTACCTCATGCACTGGATTACACCTTCAGCAGCAGCAGTTTCTTCTAGTGCATGCATAGCAGACAGAAACACGACATTCCTATAACTTGTAACTTCCTGAAGAGATTATAATTCGCACTTTGATAAACGAGCAAAGCACTAACATAGACTAAAAAACTACAACTTTCATTCCTTATGTACCTTGCCAAGGTAGACTAAAAAACTACAACTTTCATTCTTTATGTACCTTGCCAAGATCACGCACCGTTGATGGAAGTGAACTCCATGAAATCCTAGAGTCAGACCAATTCTTAAAACTGAGTGCCACCTTAGTCAGATTGCACGGAAGAGTCTCATCTTGTAAAAGGTCTAAATCTTTTCTAGTGGGCTTGGTAACTGATCTTGGCGAGACAATAATATTCTTGTTTGTAAGTGGTGAAATACTTGCAGTTGAATGCCTTGGTGTTGAAACTTTGTCAAAAGAAGGCTTTTTCACATAAGGAAGCTGCAAAATATCAGACTCATCCAATTCAAACACAATCAACACAACATAGGCATGATATTTTTCTTTAAAGGACTTGGTCAATATAAAATAACCAACTAAAATTTCAGATTCTTCAGATAAAAACAGCACCAGTAACATGATTCTTGATAATTCACTATCCGCATTCTATAAGATACTATGAGAAGCCATACAGGAGCAAGCCATGTAACTACAGGATACAGTTCTTAGCATTTCTAAGGTGACGAAATAGCCAGGTAACTTGAGCTACAACATTGTGTTGCAACATCAGGATTTAGCATGAACAGATTGATCCAGTAACCAATCCATCCGTCCATCCACTATCAAACTGAAAGACCTCTACATTTTTAGGGTTTAAGTCTAATCCAGATACAAACTTAATTAATCTGATCTCTTTGAAGAACCAAACCAAGAACCAGACAAGCACAGTGAAATTAACCTAGTGCATTATTGTCTAACCATTTCTGCGCTAGGTTTAATAATTGAATCAGCGCATTGAACTAAAAAGAGGAAAAGAAAAAAGAAAAGGTCCCTCCTAACAAACGCAGCAGTAATAATAATAATAATGCAGTTGATAACAACATTAAAGCACAAAACTAACACCTAAAAAGTAAAACTTTACAACTTTCTCAAACCTAAAATAAATGAAGTCACATTCTGCCAAAAGTCCATCAAAAACCTACAAGTGGGGTAACTTACAGAATCCGAACCCGAGAAACCGCTTTTGGAGTTGGACCTAGGTGTAGCTCCAGCACCATTTTTCTCACCGGGGCTCCGGTCCCATCCTTTTCTCACTGAATCCAAACTCAATCTCCTCATCTCTAACCCCTCCATCTTCCCATTTCCAATGGACTGCCTTCTTGATTTTGTATCTCTATCCTCACTGACAACCACTCTGTTAACCTTGGTTTTAGCCTCGACCCGTTTCACTTCAGCATTCTTCTTCCCCCTTTTCGGGTCGGGTCGGTTGCGGGCAGTCAAAAAATCACTGGAGATCAAATCTTTAGGATCTCCAACACATGGACGCCTCTTGGGAACCGGCTTGATACCACGGAGAACTGGAACGGGAGAACCGGAGTCAAGCCGGGTCACGTGAATGAACTGACCGAGTTGGATCTTGTCACTCAGTATCAACTCAACATCATCTTCTGATACAGAAACATAAGCTGAATGCTGAGAATCTGATACCCTTAGATAAAATCCCCTGCTTTTCCATGGATCATCATCAAGTGATGGAACTATACTAATAACCTGAAACCCCCATTAAATAAAAGATCAAGAAATGTCCATAACAACGTGTTAGATATGTATAAATGAACCTAATAGTAAAATTTATTCTTTTGAAAGGAGCTTGCCTGAAGAAGAGCAGAGCGGTGTTCACCAGCAACTTTGGTTTGTTTATCATCGAGGTGTTGCAAGAGTTTAAGCAAAATACCAGGCGTTAGAGACGCCATTAATATTACAATGAGGAAGAAAGTTCAGAAACTGAAGCACAAGGAACAAAGAAAGAGTAACAAACATGGCAGTGTAAGAAGCAAAGGGGTAAACGGGGGGAAAACAAATGGAATTGCAGCTGCAAGATTTGAGAGTAGTATGGGGAAGAGTGAGTTTAGAGGGGGAATCTCAAAACGGTGACATTGGAGGGAGAGCTGAAGGACACGTGTCAAATGGGGATGTGGTCTTTAGCTGACAGAGAGTTGCAGAAATAAGAAGAGAGAGGAGAGGGGAATCAGGAATGGGCGCGGATATCAGAGAGTACATCCAGAAGCCCAGTAGTAAAAGACAAGATTCAACTAAAAAGGTCGTATGCTCCTACGTGACATTGCCAACTATTGTTTGTTTCAACTGCACGGTTTTGGATTCCCTAAATTATTAAATGTGATTATTTTTTGATCCTAAGTTTTTGGGATCAATTTTAGAAAAACTTTATAAACTGAGGAATTTCTTCATTTCAATTCACCACCTAGCATACTACGCTACGCTGAAGTCAGCAAAGCAAAACCTATATTAACTTGGCCGTAATGCGCATTGTTGTTCATTTTTTGGCGACAACTCGTATTTGTAAGTAGTCACCGCTGCTTATTAGCTAGGCCAAAATTTTCCACAATATTTTTTGTGGAAACTATTTTTCATTAAAAGGAAAAAAAACTACTTTTCCCACTTACGTTTTTCTCTGATTATTCATGAAATAGTTTCTAATTTTTAGTCGAGTTAGATAGTGAGACAAATTGGCCAGAAAATATTTTTTGGAAAATACCATAAGAAATGAAACCAAACTAAAGGACAAAGGGGTACTTCAATAAATGACACTCATGATACGATTTATCCAACAGACGGAGAAAAAATTTAACCATAGACCCTAGTCAAGATAGTGACTCTTCAATTGTGGTGACCTGACATCCTTTTACATTCATACCAGGAAGTTTTTGATAGCAAAAGATTTTTGTACTATTTTGAAATCTTTTTTTGCCTTCTTGATGGTCAGTTCGTAAGTTGTAGTTTAAAGAAACTGGCCCTAGTAGTTACTAAAAGTTGCATACACCTCCCATTT